TTTATGAGAAAAATACCACTGATTCCATATAATCAATAAATCGAAAGTTCCTATGAGATTCAGCTATTTAGCCTGTCAATCCTTATGATGTTACCATATTATTCTCTTGGTTTAAGATGTTTTTTCCTTTCAGATGCTACTATGTCTGCACAAATGGGAAGAAGCCAAATGATTGCACTGAGGAAACAGGCTGAATAGATACAAAATGCTATCAAACACATCGAGTGAACAGAAAAAATATGCCTTTAATTTCTTTTAGTTCTTGCCTATTATTCTATCAGCAGTTGGGCGGGGGGAAGGAAAATAAATCAGATGCAAGAATGAATGTCTGGATTACAATACCCAATTTAAAGAGCCACTGATAAAATTTGTAGGACTAAAAATGCATGGAGAAAACTGGGATTAAAAAATCACCTATGGAGAAATTTATAGAATAGTCCACTAATTCTGTGCCCTCTCCTATCTATGCAGCTGATGTGAACAGTGAGGGAGGCTTGGGGGTGTTTAACCCAGGTCTCGTCTCTAAAAGGAGAGAGCCAGCACAAAGAAGGGCTTTCTAAGAACAAGCACCTAACAGGAAAAGCACGATTCCCTCAGAAACAAGAAATCTGAACTGGGGGAACTCTTCAAAGCAATGCCAAGCTCACTGCCCCTTCCCACCCCGCGGCAAAATTTCCACAGGAGATGAACTACCACTGTTTGGGTTTCCTTGTCGTCAGGTAGAGGAGCCACAGTGAGGGAGTTACCGTGGCTGCGTGCTGAATTAACATCTGATCACCAACTCCTGTTTCCCTCTTTGATCCTCCGCATTCAAAGCACAGGACCCCACCGGGGTCCTGGCAGCAGGGGCGCGAGGGGCCGGCACACTGCTCCCCGGCTGCACAGCCGGAGGAGCACCGTACGCCAGCTCCCCCCGGCCACACGCTCACCAGCTATGCCACCCTTCACACTGGGTTACGGGAATATTTATCTCAATGTGCCTGGCCTGCCCTCGCCCCTCCTCTCTCCCCAGGTAAAGCACATGAGGTCTGGAAGAGCTCTTCCTCTTCGTGAACTGCCATGAGGTTTTTCTCCCAGCAGAAACCGTACCTGGATCTGACAAGTGAAAAAGCAGCCTGATATTTTCTGGTCTGTGTTATTAAATGGTGGGTTGCCCTTATCATGATCCCAGTTCAGCCAGTAACTGTTTTGCCAGTAGAAGCATGTTCAAGCCCTAGATACCAAGGATTTGATGATGACAGGTCACCTAGAAAATGAACTGAAATTTATAAAGGATGTTGTTGCTCTCCTGTCGAAAGACAGAGTGGTTAAGAACTGGGAGGACAGACGACACGACTGTTTTCGCAACACGGTACTATACAGATCAGCTAAAACTTGAACCTGGTAACAAAGAATGCCTTTCTCAGGAATTGCATGGAAATGCATGATCCTTTAGTGATTTTCTGCTTTGGATCTCTTTCTTGCTTTCTTTTATGGGCAATGGACACCTTTAAATCTTTGACTTTGATACTGGAAGTAATTATTGCTACCACAAATGCTGCAGTAGCATTTATTAATTGCACATTGTTCCATGTTAATACCGACTATGATGCAGTTTCACTCCCCTTCAGTAAAAGAAATCTATGAACTACTATCTGGTTTTCTCTGTGTATCACTAAATGCTCTACTGTGCAGGTTGCCTGACGGTAACAGACTTGCTGCCCTATTTGTACCTTGGTAATGTACCGCTAAGAGGAATTAACAGCTTGCTAAGCAGAACTACTTTGCTGCTTTCTGTATGCTTTACTGGCATTCACACTGTCCTGTATGATTTTCAGGCTTCAATTTCAATTTTGCAAGCACGTCTGTCAAAGACAATTAAAATATGTGACGAATATAATTCGTATTGGACCAATTCATGCAAGTCTTTCATTGTTGCAGGCATGAATATTTTATATTACACAATATGAAACTAAAAGCAATTCAATTTGATTTAGCCATGGGGTCTCCAGTCAAGAATGTGTGGTTTCATACATACTCTAGCCCTTTGCACTGACCTTGGACAGATTTTTTGAAGTATATATAAAAAGAAAAAATGTACTGCCTGTGGTATTCAAAGAAAATGAAGCTGGCACTCATAGACCCTGTGCTATACCAAATTGTTATCAGTGAACAGAACTTCTTTTTAAAATGAGTGTAAAAAGCCATATAATTTTCCTTTCTACTCCAGAATAATTTCTCAGGATTTTATTTTTGAATAGCAACTAGGAATCATGGAAATGTGGTTCTTTCCTTTGTGTGCATATTTAACTCTCTTTATATTCACATCAGAGACATCTGGTCTACACTCATGAAATCTGGTCTACACTACACTCATGAAACTTCAATGTACAGAAGCCCAGTTATTTGTGATTTTCCCTGATGTGCTCCAGCTCAAATTCAAGCCTTTCTCCTCAAAAATAGAATCAAATTATTAACTATATAAACTTCTTGCAATGAGGAAGCTAAGAGCATAAAATTATGTATCTAAGAACAAGAATTCCGAGTAAATGGCTCAAAAAGTTTTCAGAAATATATGACTGTGATTTCTAACATATTTACAAAAATAGAATGTAACAAATAATAGGGAAAACTTATGGAACATAAATAATTTGACATAATCTATGATACAGAGTTGTATGACCCCTGGATATATAATTTAAAAACTTACTAGATAAAGCAAAATTAGAACACTTTATCCTCTGTGCTATGGTCATTCCTCCTCTATATTTGTTAAATTCATTTAAGAACTGTATATACTGTTTTAAACACAAAGGATGGAAAGCTTTCATTTATATGCCCATCAGCACGCTTATTACCCCAATTATGTTGATTATCTTTCTTATTAATTTTTAATTATTTTATTATTTTTGAAAAGCTCCTGCCAAATCTGCTTTCCTTTAATGGGAAATTATAAGAGAGGTGCAAAACTGGTAGAAAATTATTAATGTAATTTTTTTGAAAGTAAAAATTTCAAAATAGTAGCTGAACTACAAAAAGTAGTGACTACACAATCATTTCTTTATGTTTGTTCTCTAAAAGATGCACCCTGAAAACCGTTCAATATTTGAAATTTGATCAGCTAAGCTACATGACAGTTGCATGCCTGAATTACAGAGCATGTAATTTGGTCTCTACATTCAGTATATGTCACTTTCCTTCAGCTTTTGCTTAAGATGCATAAATGAAATCTGTGGAAATCTCTTAATTTTTCTAGATCACTTTAAGAGGCATTTACAGTGAAATAACTTCCATGAAACATATTAAGCAGATCTAATTATGTAATTATTAGACCCAAATAGCCTTTATTCTGTGGCGTTTTTGCAAAAGCAAAGGATAATGTCAGGCAGAGTGCTGCTGTTTAATATGCTTATGTGCTGAAGTACCTTCACCTGCCTTCTAGCATTTAAAAATATCATGTTTCTTTCAAAAAAAGGATGCCAGTAGTCACCAGCTTTGCTAACCACACAGATTTTAAACAGTTAGTAAATATTGTTTGACTGTTTTCACATTTCAGAAGATATATTTTAAAATGGACTGCTCTGGGCACTACATGATCACGTTGATCACTTGTTGCTAAATAAAAAGGATGTAGGCTGTCTCAAATGACAGGGAAACATGACAGATATGGATCCATGAACTAATTATGAGCAAATGCAAGAGCTGATATTAATGCATGCCTGTAAAATAATAACATTGGTACTACAGAAATCAAACCTTCAAACTTCTCCACAGAAGTGAAAAAGCAACAGTAATTACAACTTGTGAATTGATGACAGCCAGCCTGTACCTTTGCTTTTATTTCATACACACTTCACTTTTTTTCCTTTTTGGCTTTGTTCCTGCATAAACTTTTAAGGACCAAGCTATTTTACTTGAACATCAGAAACCTATACTGGCAATTACAAAATTATTGATTTTTTTTTTTTATAGGCATATCCAAAACTAGAAGGGATAATACTGGGAAAAAAACCCAAGATCTTTACTGTTGAAAAGTTTAAGACATGGGAGGGAAAAAATACATACAGAGAACACTTCTCATATCCAAATATTTCAAGCCATCTGAACACTGTTCACTTGCTGCAAAGTTGCCAATTCTAAAACCAGAATTGAATGAATCTTACTAAAGGAGACCCAGTAACCCAGTAATCCTCTAGAACTCTGCTAAAATGTAGGTTTCTCTAAAAAATTCTTCTAGCAAATCTTAACCCTTATTGTACAGTTAATGTTAGCTATCCGAAAGAGTGCATACTATGTGTGTGATCACAGCACTTTTTTAAAGCTGTTTAAAGAATATTTCTGTTCGATAGCTTTTTTGTTAGCAATATTTCTATAATGTAATGGTTCCTATCACTGTGCAGCAAATATGTGGGGCTTTTTGCTCTTACCTCATGTAGTGCACTTGATAAGGGGTACTACTGAATCTTCTGCACGCTGCATTACAAAGAGAACTGTCTTTTTGTAAGGCATTTTCTCTCTGCTGCTTTCACATAAAATAAAGGCTCTTGTAAATGGATGTATCTGACTGTATTAATACTCAAATGAAAACTGAAAGCCTTCTACTTTATCTGAAGTATAACTCCCCCCCAAAATTCTTGCCTTTCCAATTGTGTTCGCTGTAATAAAGGTTAATATTGAACTGAACTTAACGTATTCTAGCATCACATGTTAAGTTCCAAATCTGTATGTGTGATCTATTCTTTTTTATTGTTGAAATTAAAGGATAGGAAAAAATTTTGGCAATATTGTTAAAAACAACAGAGGAAAAGCATTTTACTTAAAGACAGTTCAAATCTATTGCTTTCATGAGGAGGAAAAAAACCCCATGGTGCAAAGTACTGGGGGGAGGGAAGGGAAGAGCATCTGTTGAAAATTAACTACTTCAACCTTAATTAACACATAATTTTCTACCTGATGAGATGGTGTTGTAGAAAGTATAAATTGAAGGCACGAGAGTAAGAAATGAGTCATCTTTGACTTACCGTTTCAAAGACTATGGCTGTATTGCAGTCAGCATCCAAACACAGAGCATGAAGCTTCTCACAAATCAGAAAAAATATACGATCAATGAACAAATCAAATTCATTGTAAAAAATAAAGGCCAGATATTAGAGTATGTATCCAAGGGTCTGGTTAGTCACAGCTTTGACTAGCCTGCTACAGAGCTCTGCAAAACAAGTATACTGCAGCAGTGTGGCAAGCATAGGATTGCAATGCATGTCCCATATATTCAAGCATAATAGAAAACATGGTCTGGAGCTTATTCCATGTGGAAGTGGGGTTTGTTTTATGCAGGCAGAAAAAAGAGGGTTTATTTTCCCACATAATAGAATTAGAAATGAAGATTTTTCTTGATTATTGTACACAATAATTCCCCAGGATATCAGTTACATAAAGCAGGTGCCTCTGTCTCCTGTTTCCCAGATAAATGCCTGTAATCTCATTTCACAAATGATCCTATTTAGACAGGAGCCACCTATTGTGATGATATCATTTGCTCTAGTATCCATAAATGGGCAACTTCCTACCAAACGTCATGACCACTGACGACACAATTCTTTATAATATTGAGTGGGCAGGGTGCTTGATGGGGTCCCATCAATCTACAGCAGCTTCTGCTGATGTGATATCATGAATCCTGCATAATCATCTAAAAGGCTGAAAATGAAGAGAAGTATTAAACCTGTCTGGTGGAGCTCATTAAAAAAAAAAAAAAAGAAAAAAACAACAACAAAAAAAACCAACCAACCAACCAACCAAACAAAAAAAAACCCACCAACACCGAAAACTGGAAAGAAAAAAAAAATCCTGGAGAGACAGTAAAAGAAAATAAAACATAACTACATATCAGTGGCACCTTTTCAAATGCCTTCTGAACTCACAAGTATACTGGCAGGTATGAACAAAATCACTCTCAGTTAAGAAGTGTAGATGTCAGTTTCTTTTTAACAAATAATAAAGACTGTATATCCTCTTTCCTTGCAAATGCAAAATATACATTGACAGCAAAAAGGACCAGTGCTTCAATGATGTACAATTTAGCCCACTCCTGGTGAGTATTTTTAGAATTAGCAACCGCTTGTCACAGTAGCTTGGAATATGAACTCTGTAATAAAATATCCTTAGACTGTTTGAAATCCAGTCTGCTAGACTGATTTGCTTCAAGCTGTAGCTACATAGGTTTTGTTTCTCAAATCAGTGTTTTCTTAAGAAAAAGATCATTCAATTAAATATACATATTTGGGAAATGTTATGATACTCACAGTTAGCTGAATTTAGTTTTCATCTGCCTGCTTCAACACATAGAGATTTGAAGAGAGTTAAAGGTGATACAGGGTTCACTTGCTTCCCCACCTTTCCCCAAGGGACTCGGTTGTGCCTAGTGGCTAAAGCAAATTGCTTGAAAACTTTGTATTTAGTATTTTTCCTGGCAGAAGTTGGTAAGAACTTCAAAAGAAGGTCCCCAGTTTCAAAAAAATTACCTGAGGGCATTTTTCAACAGAATTTTCACAAATCTTAGTCTACATACTCCTGCTTTGAACAGACTGAGCTGCATCTAAACAACTTCTTAATACACAGACAGAAAGGCATAACATTAGGATCCATCCACATTACTGTTTGGACAATGCTCACCAGAATGCCAATCAAGCTGGGGTTTTGGAGTAGAAAACTTTAAAGCTTAAAAGCACAAAACCCAAGAGGACTTTATATACATTTCCTCTGATGTGGTTCAATCACAACAGAGTCCACTTTTCAAAATCCAGCCCCTCCATTGTAGACATCCCTTGTTATACCTTGCATTTACTTCATAGTATCTTTAGGGCAGAGACCACACTTTACTAATTACTGTATTACACACAGAGAGGGTCTCAAACACAAGCAGTGTAAATGTTAATAATAAAAGCAACTCTTTTAGAGTTGACTACTACCACAGTGACTCATATCAGGTCTAGACAGGGTGAAAGCAAAATTTGAGCACAGCATCCATGGCTTCAAGATGTAGCAGTGCTGTCAAAGCAGAAAAGTCAATGGGTTTTCTAAAAGCACCCTAAAGAGAACAACTCTGTCCTCAGAGATTGAAAACAATGGAGAAAACTATTTCAGAGCACTGAATAGCCATCTAGACACAAGCAGGTGTTTTCTCCCTCCCTTCCTCCCTCCTGTGCTCATCTTCAAGGTAACACTAGGTGATCTCCCTAGACATGCTGTCTGGGCAAAGACATAAGCATAGCTTTGACCCTGGGGATCATAACCTCTTCATTTCAGTACTGGGTGGAAGTAGAAAAGCATATACTCTGTGTGTCCAGATGGCATAAATATTTTCCGTGTGTTTCCATGACAAAAGATAAAGATAACACAAGAAACAGAAAGTGGAAGCGTGTGTGAGTGTAACTCGGATTGATGGTCCAGAAGTTTCTCTCTTGGCTAGATGAAAGATGACGAAATGGGAATGAGGAAAAAAAAAAAAGGTGGAAAATAGCTAAAAAGAATATTCATCACTTCTCCATCAAATTCAATCCTGCCTTGGGAAATGCCAAATGTCACATTTTCTTGGTAATGTACAAAGACTTTTAAGGCTGTTCCAGGACATTGTAGGAAAACGTGCATTTACTTAAAACAATATATTTTTTAGCAGCTGAGCCAAAGGATGTCACCACTCTTCCTTAACCTAGTTTTGAGCTTACCAAGAACACAGTGATGAGCTTAGAGCACAGCTTTCCCATGCAGAGGAGCATGTTAAACATGGTCCAGCGGAAGATGCCCTGACGGTTCTGATCTTTGCTTGAAGACCTCTAGGTTTTCTAAGAGATAGTGCTAAAGAGAATGGACCATCATTCCCAAATGGTTCCTATTTGTGTAAGGAGATACTGTGAGAAAGTGCCCCAATGATATTACTATCTCAGGAATGGCCTGAAGCATTGTACTGAAAGGACAAGTCACTCCAGTGAAAGGAAAGCTCTTCTATTTTATCCAGGAGAGACTATCAGAAGCCACAACATCTAATGTTAAGTAAGCAAACAGTGGACATCTGTCAAAAGTGCAGACCACACGACAAAAAATACTAACCCTCCTAATGTCTTTGCTTTACTTCTGGGATCATAAAAAAACACCTGATATCCTAACAAATAAGTTTAAATGTCCTTAGAACACCTTTGAAATTCCTACTGGTCTTCCTTTTATTGGGCTTATTTTTTCTAGCACACTTGGAAACTAAATTTCTCCAGGCATTAGGGCCAGTCTATAAATCTGCAAATTCCAGGGCAGAAAATAAGCAGACTGGATCTTCTTTAAAACGTCTAGACTTTCCACTAATTAGAATTGAAACCGTAAAACACCGATGGACTACTGAAACTCCATTCTGACAGGTAGGAGACAGAAAGATGCTACCTTCTAAGACACCTACTGATATTTTAGTAGGTAGTTTCTTTAAATTAGAGATGGAAGGAAATCTTTTGGTTAAGTGAACTCGTCTGCTGACTGGAGCAGCAAGAAACATTGCCATGTCCAGTAAGTGTGACTGTAACTTACATTAATTAGTGGGGAAACACAAAACCAAAAAAAAATTATACTAAAACAAATTGCAATTTTTTCCTTATAAATGGCAAACAACCAAACCAAACAGTACAAATAAAAAGTGAATTCTTACATGTCATTCTTTTTGAGAAACAGAGTAGGAAAACAGTTACTGTAAATTGTGTGATTCAACAGCCCTTGTGTGTGTTGATTAACAAGGACCATGCACACTAAGACAATGAAAACCTTATAAGAACTTGTGCGTCCACTCATTCCTACAGCAAACAAACAAAATTAAGGAAGAGTCTTGGACATGGAAATTTCAGTCTGCTACCATTTCTAATGTTTGTAGCGAGGATCAGGAATTCTAAGGGCTAAAAGTGCATCCTCCTTCTTTTAGCCAGGTCTACTTGTGTCTAAAATCTCTTGAGGAGCTGAACCTAACTGATAGGACACATCGGACAGATATTACTTCAAGATGCGTTACATTGTTGTACTTAAGCAAAGACTCTTCCTTAAATACCTCTGAGATTCATCACTATTGCTTTTCAACAAGGCCATGGAAAACTCCAAAGGGGGATTTCAGCCTTGTAAGGCCAAATGTAATTTGTCATAATATAATAATGATGATGAAGAATAATCTGCAGTTTTTAATTACTTGTCAAAATCCTATTACCCAACAAAAAGCTAGAAATATCTATTGCCAATATCATACTTAAATAAATTCTTAAGAATAATAATCACAATAAATTATTATTTAATGGCTAAAACAATCAGGAAAAAGTGATGTTCATAAATTTATTTCTATACCACCAGCTGCAATGCTGGTATCCCAAAGAAAACATGAATGTTCATTTTAATTTCACACTCCATTAGGAATACAGGTATAAAAAAAAAATCTACTAAATAAAAAGTGACATGTTCTGATAGGAAAACACATAATTTTAATTTCCATATCAAAATTAACATAATTGAGAGCAGAAATGTTTAAAATTTTTAAGGAGGATTTGCTTTGTTTTTTAAAGCCTGATTAGCCCAATTGTTGATTGATAAGGGACAATGATGGTTTGCATCTGGCAACCCTCCTAAATAAATCACCATTGTTTGGGAGACAGGAAGAAAGGGATAAAAAGTTCCATATGATGTTATTCTGCCTCTGAAACAGTGCATTTTACCAAGTCATTCTTTTTTCAGTGGAACTCCCTGCTGCTTTGAAAGGGAGCTATGCTGAAACATTTATGGCCCAGAAATTTGTGCAAAATACTGTTTCATATAAGCAGTAACTAAATACTCTCTTCTACCATAGACCTCGATACTCTAGGATGCCTGTTAGAAAGAGCCAAAGGTCAGATGGCTGGCAGGCTTCATCCTTGTCACCTATAAATCTTATTCTTAGAGCATTTCAGATCAGGGTTCTCTATAAATTATAGCTATTGTGACAAAACATTCCCATTGGCAGACAGGTGATTTATGGACATAGTTTTATTCATTGAAGATCAAAGCTATTAAATGGTCCTAACATTGACCAGCAAAGCTATGGTACAGTCATAAACCTATGACATTAAAAAAGAGGATTCTTGCAGGTTCAGATGACAGAAATACTTTATATTCTGATATTACCAAGGTGAAAGATGCATCTGT